TACTACACCACTGAGTTGTCTCCGGTATAAGTATTATCTCTATTTTATAGATTACAATGGATTGAAAACTCAAAAAGTCAACAGTGTGATTTTTTGCGGCCAAAAAAATTAATGTGTTCTTACAGGCCATCCAAAGAGGCTTGGTGTTCTTTATGAAGAGGGTGATTGTATTCTGCCCTGGTGGTCAGGCAAACCACATTTGAAGTCTTGTGTTTTGGGAAAGGGTGGAGGAGGGTGAACATCCAGAGGAGAATGATCAGGATGGAGAAGAGCCTTGAGATGATGTCACATTAAGATCAGTTGAATGAACTGGATGTTTACCTGGAGAATACCTAAATGGGCTCCATGGGTGTCTCTTAAGGGTTGTCTTGTGTGAAAGAGACTAGGCTTACTTGTTCAGCCCAGGCAAATAAAGCTAGAAATAATGGGATAGACCAACTTGGGTTTGACGTAATGAAAAGCTTCCTAAGGATTACAGCCATCCCAAAGTGGAGGAGACTCCAATTCACCCCCTTCCACCTACAGATCAACAGCTAAAGGCTGGATGACCACTTTTAGGAAATTCGTAGAAAAGAATCTTGATCATATGCAGGTTGAACTGGATGGCCTGAGGTCCTGTGACACAAGTAACCCATTCTATCTCACCATTCAGGGCGATGCCACTGTGTTGGTGTTACTGAACTGGATTACTCAATTACTGGTCCATGATATTAAGTCAACAAGCTTTTTTTGGGGGCGGGGGAGGCAGGCAATGGGGTTAAGTGACTTGCCCAGGATCACACAGCTACTAAGTATTATATATCTGAGGCCAGATATGAACTCAGGTCCTCCTGAATCCAGGGCCGGTGCTCTATCCACTGTGCCACCTAGCCGCCCCAACAAGCATTTATTAAGTCCTTACTATATGTAAGGCATTGTGCTAAGGATGGCCTGGTAATACAAATACAAGACAGTCCCTGACTTCAGGGAGCTTACATTCTAATAGAGGAAGATAACACATAAAAGGAAGCTGAAAAATTGAGGGGGTGGGAAGGAGGCATGTACACCTGGGGTGGGGTGAATGGCAGAGAAAATTCAAAGAGTGAAGAGTGAAACCTGGTGGGTTATAAAGGCTGAGTGACGTTTTTAGTGACCACATTTAGCAGCCATAAAGTTTAATTTTTCCCCTAATACACCATTTAAGTGTCCTGATGAGGGCAGCTAGATGGCACGGTAGATAGAGCTCTGGCCTTGGAGTCAGGAGGACCTGAGGTCAGATTTGATCTCAGACACTTGAAACTTACTAGTTGTGTGACCCTGGGCAAGTCACCCAACCCCGATTGCCTCACAAAAAAAAAAGTGTCCTGAGGAGAAAAAAGGTATGAAACTTGTTTGGGTGTGTAAAGGAATTAAAAGACTGTGAAATAGAGACAAGTTCTGCTACTTGGAGCCTTTCCCAATTCCTGCTCCCAGCCCCAGCTGCTAGGGCAGCACTCTCCTCAAATTACCTTGCATTTTTTAAATATGCATTTTTTAAAAATACATTTTATATTTTTAAATATGTATTTATATATGTACATTTGTTTCCCCTTATGAAGTGTAAGCTCTTTGAAGGCAGGGCCCTTTTTGTCTTTGAATAGTTAGCACCTAGCACACTGCCTAGAGCATAGCAAGGGACTGGACTTGAAGAACTTCCCCTACTAATGAAGGTTGGCACCTTCTTTGGAACTTAGAGTCAAAGAGACTTGCATACAGCTAGTAAATGTCTGAGGTGGCATTTGAACATGGGTCTTCCTGGCTTGAGGTAGACTGTGAGCTCCTTGATAGCAGGGTCTGTTTCGGGCCTTTCCTTGTTAATGCTTAGCACAGTGCCTGGCACATAGGAGCTTAACCAATGTTTACTGACTGACCCTGTACCCACTATTCCACCCCACCTCTATGCTTAAAGATGGATTATAATGGGGCAGCTAGGTGGCACAGTGCATGGAGCACTAGCCCTGGAGTCAGGAGGACCAGAGCTCAAATACAGCCTCAGACACTTAACACTTCCTAGATATGCGACCCTGGGCAAGTCACTTAATCCTGACTGCCTCACAAAAAAAAAAAAAGAGAGATTGATATGGTCATAGAGAAACAAATGAAAATACTATGCTGACCTTTTCTAATGGTAGCAAAAACTGTAAAGTGAGAGTCTGAATGTAAAATAGTTAACTCCTCAGTTGTTATTCATGTGGCATATGAACAGAATGGAATATTATTACACTGTAAGAAATGACAAACGTGACTAATGTGGAAATGTTTTGCGTGATGATATATGTATAACCTGTATCAGACTGCTTGGCATCTCAGAAAGATGGCAGGGGAAGGAGGGAGGGATAGAATTTAGAATTTAAAACTTTAGAAAAAATGACAAATGTTAAAAATTGGTCTTGCACATAATTGGGGAATAAAATTGGAAAATAAAATATTTTAAAAAGGAAAAAAAATTGTAAACATGACAAATTCGGATGTACATGGGGTCATTTGAAGTAAGAAGAATCAGGAATAAAATGTACATGTAAAAAGAATACAACTACTATATACACAAGAAAAATGATAATAGCTAACATTTATATAGCACACAGGACAGGTACTGTGCTAACTGATTTACAATTATCCTCACAACTCTGAGAGGTAGGTGTTACCATCCCCATTTTACAGATAAGGAAATTGAGGCAAACAGGTGGATGACTTGCTCAGACACAATTACTAAGTGTCTAAACTGGATTTAAAATGCGCCAAGTTTTGAGATGCTTTATCCACCATGCCAATTACTAAACTAAAATTTTAAAAAAGGTTTTTTTTTTAAAGATCTCAACTAAGATTAAGGAAAATGACTAATCCTGGTTCAAAAAAACAGATGAAGGAACACATTTTCTTCCTCTTGGTCAAGAGATGGGGCACCAAGGAGGCAGAATACCGCATATGCAGTTATGTGCTCTCTATATCCCGCTGGTTTTGTTTAAGGTGGGGAGGGAGGAGCTGGTAGATTGGGAAATGACTAGTGTAGAAAACCAAGGAGCATCATTAAATTTTTTTTTAAAAAAGAAAAAAAAGCTGGCTAAGTATTTCCTCTTTAGTCACTAGATTTAGACTGTATATTCTAGACACTTAACCCCACTTAACTTGTTGGAGAGTCAAGGAGATTCTTTTTTTTTTTTCCTTTTTAGGCAACTGGGATTAAGTGACTTGCCCAGGGTCACACAGCTAATAAGTGTCAAGTGTTTGGTCTGAGGCCATATGTGAACTCAGGTCCTCCTGACTTCAGGGCCGGGGCTATATCCACTGCCCCCTAGTTAAGGAGATTCTAACCAATGAAATTTGACATTGCTTTGTTCTAGTTGCCATGGCCTTATTGGTATGTTCCATTCTAGAATGGGAGATAATCTAATGTTATCTCTCTCCAACTGTGCAACTGGAAACACATCTGTAAAGATGACTCATAAATAGATACTATCATTCCAGATAAAGGTTGGGGGTGGTCCTGGTCAAGGGAGTCTCCTACTACCTAAGAGATAAGAGCAGATTTTGGCATCCTTCCCCTGCTACAATCCTGAAGAGTCCTCCTTATCAACCACTGATAAGCTTCAGAAATTTCCTTTCTCTTTAGTTCATGTAGGTAGGTCAACTCTTCCTTCAAGAATTAGCATATGATTCTAGATATACTGGATTGCTCAGAATCCTAAAACTAGCTTAGGGATCAAGTCCTAGACCAAGCCACACCTCAACCTTGTTTCAGAGATCAGGGGTTCTGCCATATCTTAACTTTGCATTTCATTACCTCCATCCTCCAGCTTGGGGCTGAAGAAATGGACTTCCAAATTTCTAGTCCCCAGTCTTTGGGCAAGCTTAAGGATGGAGAGGGAGGGAGGCAAGGAGAAGGGAGAATGAATTAACTTTGGAACATGGAAATATTTTGGAAGATGGTGGGAGAGGAGGTTAGTTTAACTCCAGGGCAGTTTGGAATCATCCCACTAATATTTCTGTATTTCTACAGTGGAATTTCTCATTCTACTCTGCACCCAGTGTCTTAAAACTGACTTTACCTACTTTGCAGTTCAGGCCCTTACATTTAGGACCCTGAATGCCTGTATGAAATCGACTTTCAAATTTCAACAGTATAAAAATGAGTCTATGAACAGGACATCTTGCATTTACTATGCCCTTGATACTTGAATTAAATGTCATATTCTTCCTCAAATTCATGGATGTAACTAATGTTTCTGTAAAATTACTGATGTTTCTAGTTAGTGACTAATGTAACTAATGTGTTTCTGTGAAGCCCAGAGGGACTTGAAGAATTTTACCTCCAAGAAAAGAACTCTCATGTCTGGTATTACAGTACAGCATAATTAGTGCTACTTAAAATAATACCAATAGTAATAATCATGAAACAAGTTTTTTTTCAAATAAAAATCAGATACATTCCACAGTATACTGTAACAAGATATTTTATTTGTCTAGCAACTGCAAAATATACAAATTTCTGAAAGGCATACCCTGTTTACAAGCTAGCAGAGTTTTATCCCAGGTAATTATTTAAGACAAACATAAAGCACACCTAATAAGTCACAAGTTTAGGAAAAAAAACCCTCCCTAACCCCCCCCAAACATCTCTCTCTCTCTCTTACCTGGCACTATCATACACATTAAATAAATAAATAGCATTTTTGCTATCAAAATAATATTAAAAAAATAAATTTCAAGTATTACAAATAAAAACAGTATCATGGATGTGGTTCAATCAGTTTCTCCCCCTCCTTAATTCTTAAAAAGAGTTCTGCCACTCTCAGGATAGAACGGGAGGAAAAATAGCTGTGTCCCCCAAACAAATATACAAAGTTCAGAAAAACTGGTTCCAGTGGAACATAGTAAAAATAAAAGTCAGTAGTCCCAGCAAGACCTTCCCCACTGTGCATTATTAAGCACACCCCTTAATGAAATGCTTCAGTGTAGTTCAGGCTACTACTACTATTACTACCACTACTAGCTTCTAAGGTAAGTAGCATCTCTCCAGGATCTCTGGATATACTCAATCCTCCTTACTCTTCCCAAATTAAAATCCTCCTGTTAGGAAAAAATAGCTTGTTTTAAATTTTAAAAAAACAGAAAATACACTACAGATAAAGACCCTCACAACAAAATAATTAAACAAAATTCTACTCTTGGCCCCTTTCTGTCAATTAAAAACAGAAATGAGTCCAAGAAAGCAGATTACCAGCAAACCTATTATAAAGAACAAAGTGAATCCAAAACTATATGGTTCACATACAAACACGCCCTTGTACCTGCTTGCACATTCACAAGGAAAGGTGGGCGGCTGACATGACTCAAGGTGGTTTAAAAAAAGGGGGGGGGGAATCCTAGGCTTATGGCAATCTATGTGTAGGACTACTTGTTAATGGGCTGCCAATAAACATGTCTTAAGCCTTAGATATGAGCTCTATAATGAGCCCCCACTGATGGGTTGGTTTTGTTTTGGTGACAGTGGAACAATTCTGAGCACACAGGAACTAAACTTTCTGGAGGACAGTGACTGTCTTTTGCCTCTTTTTATATCCCCAGCGCTTAGCATAGTGCATGGCACAGAGTAGGCGCTTAAGAAATGTTTATTGATTATGGTATGAGGCACTGTGGTCTGTCTCTTCCTCTCCCCACCAATTTTAACTCCTCCCTGAAGTAAAATAAATGCATTCCCTATACGGACTCCTCTTTTTCTATTCCCACTTGTGGAACACTGGGCAAAGAGGAAATGTCATTTGAAGGGCATTTGTGTGTTATGGAAGTCTTCCCCACCCTCTGCACTCCAAATAGGATAGCCTCTAGCATGACAGGGATGATGTCAAACTTATATAGCCATCCTCACCTCCTCTGTTTTGAGCACCTGGCCCAAGGCTAGAGACACAGCAGCTGCTCAATAACTGAAACCAGGCAGTCTTCTTCCTCCTACTGGCTATTCTGTCCAGCCTGAAAGAGACGACAGTGAGAAGAGAATCCTAGAGAGAGGATCTCCTCCTCCTCCCCCTCCAACCTTCTAGGGTCAATTCACTGACCACGCTGCTTCACAGCCAGCTGGTTTCATACCAAGCCAGTCTCAAATCAGTGCTATGCAACTCTTTGGGAAACAAGCCTTGCCCCGCAGATGTTTCCTAACCCTGTCTGTATTCCCTGTTCATCATGCTTCCTTCACAATCTGACCCAGCTTCTATGATGCATGACCCAACGTCCAAGTTCCATGGAACAAAGGTACGGATTTCTCATTCTACTTCTTCCACAATGGTGCAAATACAAGCAGTTCAAAGAGAATGGCATCTTTCCAAACTCAGAAAAACACCCCTCTGTGCAAGGGGTGATGGGTGCCCATTCTCACATCTGGCTTAAAGAAAGAACAAAGACTCTGAATGAAAACATACAAAAGGAGAGTAATGTCTTTGCTTTAGTCAAAAGGCAGACTTCTGACTCTGGAACTCCTGAAGAGGAAGACGTCTACTTCTCCAAATCCAAATTTTGCTCGGGTACACCATCTCCAAGCCATTACTTGCTGGTTCTACTCCTAATGAAGTATTGTCTTCAGAAGCCAAGCCAAAAAAAAAGCAGATGGTTTCTTTAGGAGGCCAGCCATCTTGAATTTTCCTATAACCTTAAGAAATTCCGACCTGCCATTCTGAAATATTTCCTGGTAAGGTAGAAAGGGAGAAAAGAAGCAGACATTCCCTTCTCAGCTAATTTTCCCCTCCCCATACTTCTCAAGCCTTTCCAGACAGGTTGCCACAAACAGACATCCACTGAAAATGAAGAATGGGATGATGAGAAAAAATAAGGAAGAAGTAAGGAAAATGGAAAACGATGGATTCTTCATACTAGGAGGGCTATACACTGCCTTTAAGTCACCACAAGGTGGTTGGTGATTGGAGTCAAAAGTACTGCATTGTCATTTGATAAATCCTGCCCTCACCCAACAGTTTGGTCAGTTTATGGAAGAAGCAGCTGGGATTATCTGGGCCTCAGGTTAAATGGAGGAGCACAAGCCAAGCTTTAGAAATGGCAATGGAATGCAACTGGTTTCATTTGTTTCAGAGTTCCAGGAAGAGTCAAAATTGGTTCTGTGAGTTATTCAGGTTCAGGTTCTGTTTTGAAGGGGAAGAGAAAAGAAAAGAGTTAGTTTATTTCCACTCAAGCCCTTAAAACAAAAGACTCATTATCATGCGGGGGAGACCTCTCTCACACACAGGGGGGGAAAAAAAAAAGCTAAGGAATATAGTTCTGTAGAGTGTCAATTGGCAAAGTGGGCCCAAAGAGGCCAGGGCATCCCAGGGAGCCAATGTAAATTTATTATCAAAACCACAAAGTCAAAAGTAGGAGAGTTACCCATGGGCATGCAGGCTTTAAAAACACACAACAACAAAAAAGAAACACACACAAGGCCTTTCTTCTGGCCATAAGAGAAGAAGAAAAGAAGGTAGGAAAAGTCAAGAAGCGCAGGGGATAAAACCAAACCATTAAAAATACAGTAGAAGAGATTCTCTGGAGGGAGTGTTTAAGGGATAAAACCAAACAGTTAAAAATGATTTTCTAGAGGGGAGTGTCCCTGTCCACAGACTGATTGCTACGAAGGAAAATTTCTCCCCTTATGTTATTTAGTGGTTCACTGGGTACTTTGCACACGCTTAAGCTTCCCCTCCCCAAAGCTCTGCTGACAATTTGGCTGGGAGGAGCACTAGAATGCTAAAATAGCCATAAGAATCTGTACCAAGCTTAGAATACAGGGCAAAATTATATGAATTTGGGGGTATATGCCCAGAATGGAAGGCTGACTCTCCTGGGGTGGGGGAGATGGAAGAAAAATGCAGAAAGTCAGCGATAATGCCAGGGAGAAAGGAGATAGACGCAAATGGACTTGGATAGAGGCATTTCAGCTAGGGCCCCAAATCACTAGGGCTCACATACCAATTTTGACTAGGGTGGTCTTAACAAGAAGCACCACTGCCACACACAAACCTCAAAAACAAAAACAAAACACACCAGCCACAGACTTCAGCTCAGGAATCCTCAGTCCTTTCCAACAGACTGCTGAAACCTATGGACCCTTTCTCAGAATGTTTTTAAATATATAAAATAAAATATATAGGATTACAAAGGAAATCAACTGTACTCAAACGTATTTATCAAACTGTTTTTTGAAAACAAGTTCACAGCCCCCAGGTTAAGAACCCCTAATTTAGATGCTTACCATAGATTCTTCCCCACTGTTTAGCATTAGTGACCTCAAGCTTTTCTGAGGCCCATCAAAGGGTCTCAAAAAGAAAAAGAAATAAACCATAAGGCTACTCCCTAAGATGCTTGGTCTCTTCCCTTCCCACTAAGGTTGTTTTGTTTTGTTTTTTAAAGGTGTGTGTGGGAGTGGGGGAAGAAGGTGATAAGGAAACTACAGTATTTATGACAGTTCTCACTTTGAGTCTACCTTAGTGGTCAAAAAAAAAACAAAACCAGAACCCTAAGATCAAGGCAGTTTTCTTAGTTTCATCTATGGAGTACCTTCCAATCTAATAGTCCTACACAGAAGTCACAAAAGTACTCTATTGTCCTGAGATTTAACTGAGTCTATCCCCAACCCTATGACACAAACCTGGACCTGGTAGGCCCACTCATCTTGACAAGCCTTAGGTGACCTAAGCAAGGGAATCCCTGGAAGGTAAGGTTAGGTCAGTTGTGGGGCCAACTTCAGAGTTTGAGGCTTCTACACTAGGCCTAAGAACACAAGATCCTTTAGATCTCAATCCAAGGAAGCAAAGCAGCCTGCCCAAAGATTAGGATTTAGACAAAACTCCCAAGTCCACTCTGTAACCTAAGTCTGCCAAGAACTTTAACACTTGTCTTCTGGAGTTGGGGGTGAGGTGTTAGCTTTTTTGGGATCTGGCACTTAGGTAGACAAAGTTTAATCTATAAATATGTACCAACATAGGACCGTAACATTTAGAGCTGAAAAGTCATGGCAAACAAAGAAAGGAAGGTCCAGAAAGATAAAACTGACTTTTCCCAAGGTCATACGCTTTTGGTTACTACCAAAGCATCACTCTGGGGAGAGAGGGGCAAGGGTAATGGTCCAGATGCCTCTTGTATGAGCCTAGAGTTCTGCACCTTAAGATGCAAAGCTACTGTAGTCCTCTCACAAACCAGGACTTGTGGCATGCATTACACATACAATAATACTCCAGGGAGCCACACTAAGCATAGGATACACACATACACACACACACACACACACACTATCTCATAATTTAATCCCACAGAACACACTGTGAGAAGAAGGAAGGGACAGACGGACAGGAGGGAAATGGTGGAGAAGTTCTCCATACAATACTACCCCAAACACCTGCATCACATTCCCTTGGAACAGCTAGTCCTAACACAAGCCAAGATGCTGCCACTCAAGGATGCCAGGGAAAGAGAGAAGGGGGATGCACTGAGCCATGTTTCCCTATTCAAATGTTAGTAAGGAGAAAACTTGAAGAACGGGTGACAGACAATCTGTCTTTTAAACATAGAGTTGGGGCACGAGAAGGAAAAACAGAATGGGAAGAAAATGATCTTTTAGTCTATTTCCTTTTGTAATGCACATTTGAAATTTTAAAATAACATCAACAGAGATGATAAACAAGTATCAGAGGTGAGACACCCTACTTTTGCTCTATTAGATAAAGGGATGGAAAAAGGTATACAATGCAGAAGTCCTACTTGCAACTAGGCCCAAACACCAAAGTTAGCTAAAATAGTCCCTACCATTATGGAGCTTATATTGTTTAAAGGGAGGTAAAATGGAAATATTGTGGCCAAAGCACAAATAAACTGAGCCTAGATCACATCAAATTATAGTGACCCTCTTTTCTTTTAAGAAGGCAGGGCTGAACACGCCCATTTTTTTAAAGAAATGATCCACTGTTCTAAGTTTATCAGGCAGCAATCTTAATCTCTTTCTAATTTTGCATACTGAACTAGGTAACCTGACTCATTAAATAAGGAAATGGGCAGGGAAGAGTCAGGCTGCCAATAGGTTGCTACTGAAATATTGAACTTCCCAGGGCCTGCTTACGAGAACCTCCCTGTCAGAAAGCCAAGAAAGAGTTGAACACAAAAGGTTAAATGCCCATGGAAGTGGTTAATTTGCTATTTTCACACAGAAATAGGTCCTTTAAAAGAATCACACAATATGCTTAGTGAAACAGCAATAATAGGAAACCTAAAGTCGATTCCTTGACTATTAAAGCTTACCAGGCTCTAATAGGAGGCTATGTGCCCCAATAGGGAGACAGATGCCCAGGTAGGGAATCGTTTCCCCCAACACCTGAGACCCAGGTGGTGTTTAATATTACCACCAATTGCAAACAGAAACCCAAAGAGACCAAGTAGGAAAAGGAAGAGCAGAAGCAAAGCCATGTCAGTAACAGAGGCAGCTTTCTGATAAAAGAGTAACTTAAATCATAAAATGCTCCAACTTTTCCAAAAGCTTTTCTTTTCTTCTCTCCAAAAATCCCCCTCTCCACAGGCCTATAGGCTTCACAAGCCACAGACTCCAAACTGTGTACTACCCAAAAGAGAGGAGAATAGGGGGAATGGGAGGAGGGAAGAAGAGGTTATAAATAGCTCAGAGAAAAATACTTACAAACAGGCTTTCCCTAGTAAAGGCTGCAGAGAGAAGAAAAGCGGAGAGAAAGGTCAGTAGGAGAAGAAGGTAACGACGCGAAAACAGCATTTGAAATCAGTAATTAGTCTTATCATGGCAAACCCTATTGCTACCAGGACAGCCTATAACTTCAAGTTTATTTGCTAGCAATTCCAAATGCCTACACAACTAGACAATGTCTTTTAAAAAACCGTAGTGGCCAGGTATGGCCCTATGCCAGGGTAGGGGTGGGAGAGCTTCAGGCAAACTGCTCGAGTTTGGGATTTCTGAGCTGCAATAGGGAGAAAGCTGATCAGTCAAGTGTTGCACTAAATCTGAGACAGGCATGGTAAGCCACTGTGAGCAGAGGCTGCCTAAGGAGGGATGAATCAGCAGCCCAGGTCAATGGGGTGGGTTAAAGTTTCTCTGACGCTGAACTGGTACTAGAATGGGACAAGATGGGAACTCTCAGCCTCCTCCCTCCTTCCCCTAAAAAGCTTTAGTACCAAATCCAAATTTGGAGGGAAAATGGAAGAAGGTACACATTGCATCATCCGTACTTTATAACCTATGTCTACGTCATCCCCCTGACATTGCCAATAGTCACCTTCTACAGATACTACAGATACTACTCTTGTTCTCTCTCCAAGTCCTATAAATCCTCCACCATTTTCATAGGAATGCCAAATATCAGACATTACAGGCTTTATTTAAAAAAAAAAAAGTTTTGTAAAAAAAAAGTACAGATTATAACCAGGGGCAGAATCAGGGAGCTTTGGGAAGGCTAATGCTGGGAGTGATAATCTGTAGCTAACAAAGCAGAAAATTCAATTCAAAAATGCAAAACACTCAAACACAAACCATGTTCTCAGTCACAGATTTAGAAAATCTTTAGCACTAAATCTTTTGAAGACTGGCCTAGCTCTTATGAGGAGGCCAAGGCTTAAAACAAAAAAAAAAAAAGGAAAGACAGAGCTCAGAAGGAAGAGGATGGTGGTTCTAGGTGATAAGACTGGTGCTACCTACATTTATGGGGAGGGATTTACAGTGGGTTTTTAAATGGCTTTAAGAAGCTGTCTTTTAGGGAAGGAGGAAAAAAAATTTCAGCACCCTACATTAAATGTATCACCCTCACCCCCAACACCCCCCCCACCCCCACCCCAGCTAACCATCAGAGAGGCCAGTGACAGTTTTCAGGGTTAATTTGGTGAGCCAGTCATGACTGATTTCTGTTACAATACTCTCTACCACTCACTACTGCCCCCACAAAGGTGGCCTTGATCAGTGATTCCAAATGCATTCCTCCAACAGACACACATACATCCAAGGACAGAGAATGAAAGACCAGCACCAAAGCGGATTTGGCCTGTCAGTAGAGCACAAGATACCGTTTCTGGCTAATGATATCTAGTCAGATGAGGCCCCACAGGGAGCTGTTCCATATTTCAGCCACGGATCCAATACAGAACTGGCCACCATGCAACCCTAATCTCTCCATGAGTGAAGAGTACAAAATGGGCTAATTCCTTGCTTTCTTCCTGCTTTGCCTGATTCTGCCAAGTAAAGGAATCTGCCTGGAAAGCAGGTGTCTATGCAGTTCTATCAGGCATCAGGTGGGAAGATGCCACCATGCTATTACCTATTCCAGAGGATCATACACAAAGGACTTCTGTGTTCTTCCCTTAAAAAGGGGTTACAGAAAGGCATATTAGAAAGAAGAACTTTCTGAACCTTAATAGAATTATTATCTTCTCTACGCAATAGGCTTAGAGATGACAGAAGGAGAAAGGAGTCAACTAACTTGTGTGGGTACCTCCCGGGGCAGGCAGCTGGGCAGGGAAGTAGAAGTAGAAGCCGTGTGCTCCTCAAAGCTGTTGATGCGAGGCTTTTTGGTGGGCTCAGGGCTGGCTAGTGGGGTAACACTATTGCGTCTCATGAGCGGGTTAGGTCCCTTCTTTGCTTCCTAATCAGGACAAAGACAAAAGAGTTATAAGGGGAAATTGAAGGGAGAAAGGGGCAGGGGGTGGAGAAGGAAACAACAGCAAAAAAAAAAAAAGGTTTGTTCTGTTTCTAGACTTTGATCAATCATAATAATATTAATAATAATGATGATAGCTAACATTAATTTATATAGTGCTTACTATGTGCTAGGCACTGTGCTAAGTGCTTTAACAACCCTGGAAGGGAAACGCTGCTATTACCCCCGTGTTACAGTTGAGCAAACAGAGGTTAAGTGACTTGCCCAGAGTCACGCTGCTGGTAAGTTTCTGAGGCTGTATTTGAATTCAGGTCTTCCTGATTCCAGACCCCATATTCTATGCACTTCACCACCAAGCTGCTGATTATACAGCAAGTTACCAAGAGACCTCAGGTGAGGAAAATGTCTGTTCAGCCAACAATTCCCAAGTAAAAATAAATAAATGGGTTTCTCTCCTCCCTCCCTTGCATTTCCCCCCAGATTATCCCCAAAGAGACACACAAACATGACTTTTTTTTTTTGCAGAAAAGTAGGGAGAAGGGCAGTAGATAAAAGGAAACATTAATAGCAATTCTCACTTTTGATTCAGAACAGAGACAAGCTGTTCCAGGTCCACATACCCTCCTCCTTCCTCCCTCTCTGGCTCCCAGAAACTGAGGGAAGGAGATAGAACTGGGAAAAGAAAGCCAGCTACATATTGGACAAGAAAGAGGCTAGAGTTATCCCAGGAAAAAAATCAGAGAAATATAGTAGCAAGGGGGAAAAAATGTTTTCTTTAGCCTCCCAGCAACTGACTAGGTATGCTGGCAATCCAGCATCAAGGAACCTCTCACTGGAACATCTCTATCTTTCAATGAGACTATTCACAGCCTCCACAGGCTCAGAACAGGAAGTAAACAGGTCCATGAGAGGATTGACTATGGTACTGATCATTTTTGTCAGTGGAGGTAGAAGCCAGCCAGCCAGGACCAACATTGCCAAGTCACATGTTAACCTTCTAATTGGTTGAATAAGTTCCTGAGAGAAAGGATGGACTTTCCATCTATAAAACCTATTTTTAAAAAAAGAGAGAGACCCTACTCTATTTAGGATGGTTTAGGTTCTGGCTGGGGGTTAAGAGTTGGTTTCAGGCCTGAGTCATTAGCCCAAAACCAAGAACTTGGTTCAACCTAACTGGACCTAGGAAAAAAAACCACAACAGCGACCTGGTAAAATACTTGGTGAATACGTGGCTCTTGAGGTCCTACTATTACAGGTGTGTTTTTCTTTCTGCTCAATCATTGGCCCAGGCCAAGCTCTTCATTTAAGAATGTGGTAGGATGGCCTTTCCAATCTTCAAAGCATTTCTTTAATTTTATTCAGACCCAGCTAGGTTAAATTCCCCACTATAGGCCAAGAAGTGTTTTGAGCAAACATCACCTCAAGCTAAGGTCCTAAGACCAGACTCCTCCCTTAGGGACAGGTCTATTATAAGGAATGATGCCAGCAGGTTGCCCTGCTGGAAAAGGGAAATTTGAATCGTATCCCTGGTAAAAGGATATTATATATTGATAGACAAGGACTGGACCTGTAATTTCAAGGGGACGACCTCTACCAGTGCAAAGTATAACCACCTTTGCAACTCACTGACTTAAGAGAGTTGCTTTAGAAGTCTAAGAGGGGGGCAGCTAGGTGATGTAGTGGATGGAGCACTAGCCATGAAGTCAGAGGACTTGAGTTCAAATCCAGCCTCAGAACAAACACTTGACATTTACTAGCTGTGTGACCCAGGGCAAGTCACTTAACCCCAACTGCCTTTAAAAAAAAAAAAGAAAAAAAAAAGACTTCTAAGAGGTTAGTTAAGTGATTTGCCCCAGATCCTACAGCCAGCATTTGTCAAGAATGCAAGTAAACCCAGGTCTTCTTTGGTTGGGGGGGGGGGCCCACTTCTCTTACCCTCCATACCATATTGTCTCTAGACAGATAAACTTACATAAAAGTAGGTTCAAACTTACTTTCAGGTCAGTCCCTATCTGATTTCTCTTGTCAGAGATACAACCTAATTGGTTTCAAATCTCAATGAAGGAGAAATCAGCCAGGTCCAGAGTACACAGACTTGGGGACTAATGATTTTGGAAAAGCTTCTCTCCATTCTTTCCATTTCTCTCCAATTTCCTCTTTTTTCTATTCCTGATCATTCTACACCCAAGTCCAAATTGTGATTACCAATGTTGATTCAACCAATGAGTTCTAAAACCTGGTATTGCAATTCTAGATCTATCTGAAAGAAAAGAAGAAAGAAGATAATGGGAAGTTTTGGGTTTTTTTTTTTTAAAAAGAACATCTACCCTCACCTTCCACTGAATTCTCAAGTCAGGTGTTATCAATAGGGAGGTAAAAATAAAATGTGAAAAGATTGTGAGATCATGACACAGACAGGGAAAAAAAAAAGATGATAGGTCCAATATACATAAAAAGAAAGGAGAGGGCAAAAAGTCACCTGGGCCTATTTCAAACAAAAAGTTACCACAAGAGCCAACTCAAGTATACATTACCATTGAATATACAAACCAACAATGAAGACTTTATTTGCAGTTATTTAATATTGACTAGTCCTTTCCCAATCCATAAAAGTCCTCCACAGCTGGCCCTAGAAAAGTCCTTTGCTTCCTAAACCAATTCTCTTGGGCTGAAGTCAGAGGCATCAGGGTGGGTACTCACCTCTGACCTTTCCCGGTGTGTGTTTACTGCTTCGACATTCAAATAAATAGATTCCACACGGCAACCTAAGGGATAAGGAGATAGAATGTTAGTTCTAGTTAGGAATCTCCCCTGCCCCACCAGGACAAGGTCTTTTGACCCCTGGAAAGCCACTTACCATATGCCACAGGTGTCAATTTCAACACTGTGTGGAGGGGACATTTCAAATACGGCATTTCATCTAAAGAAAGGAAAGGAAAGGAAAACAGACATGGTCTCATATACAGCGGGCCTTAAAATAAGGTATCTCAAAGATCTAATCTCCCTATAGTAGAGAAAGGTCTAAAAGTCACAGAAAACTCTCACAATGTAAGGAGTATGTTGAAGCCAAAGCTCCAATAACACCTCTCCAGATGGCTTAATGATATTGTTAAAATACTGGACTTGTTCCCAAGACTCTTTCTTTAAAGTCAGTTTGATTACCATATGGCCAAGGAGTTTTAACAGAAAGCAACTTTGCTAAACTGAAAGGTAAGAGAAAAAATATGTACTACATAAAAGGTTTATAAGCAACATAGAGCTTTCTACAGAAGAGGAACTAAGTGGAAACAGGCATCATGAGAGAACATCAGAGTCACAGGGCTGGGATTCTGAATTACAGAATACAAACACCACTGTCTTGAAGCTGCTAAATGTCAACGCCAAAAACAATACCTCCCATCCCCACACAAAAGGAAAAAAAATAGGCAATACCTGCACTCTTATCTAGAAAATAGGCCAAAAGGCAACGCATGACAGCTTGGTGGCAAATCACCAATACATTCTCCTGTCTCTCCAACTCCATGATCACTGGCTCCAAGCGCTGAACTAGGTCTTGATAAGACTGAAAGACAAAAGGGATATATATTTCCAGAAGCTTCATCCAAGGCAAAGATATTGAGACAACCGCATCTATAAATGTAGGGAGAATAAATCATGCACTATGAGGAGAAAGCATGAATGAATGAACATTTGCCAGGGTGATGCAGAAGGGATTCTCATTCAGGTAGGCTCTCTTGAGGTCCCAATTTTCATGGTCTAGGTTAAAGCCCTGGGCCTCTCACAAATGGGTAAGGGGAAAGGGGAGAGAAGCTAATCCCTTTCTAGATTAAAGTAAAAAATTGCTTTCTAGAAAAGGCAAGTTGCTTGGGTATCATTAAAGATTTGGTGTGGCTATTTTCTATAGAAGGAGTACACTAGCCATCATTGTTGTTTAGCCTCTTTGCTCTGTACTGGAGGGTCCTACCTGTCACTTCCAGGAGAAAAAGGTTGCTGTCCAATTTGGCATCTGTAGCATCAAATGAAGCAGGGGGGAACAGTCTCTGTTCTTATTTATGTTAAATAGGATATTCGCAAGTAATTGATCAGTTAGGACAAAGATCTCATTTTTGGTCAGCAAGGAAAGAAATTTAAAAATGAATTGGAAGTTCTCTCCATGGAGAATGTAGGTGAAATTTACCAGCAACATGGCCTTAGGCTGGATTCTGGCTTTCTGAGAAGGGTTTATACTAGGTGGGTCATTTCCTCCCAGATACTGTCACTGCTGGCTCCACTGTTGAGGGGATAATGCTCAGAGACTTCCCCCAATGCGGAATGATCATCTGAGAAACTTGCCTCCAAGGAGCCTAGACTGATTCCCCTTCTCCACCTTTGGAGGAGGGAAGCGGATGGGACTTGTAATTTCATTAGAGAAGGGACACCCCATGTGGAAGCTCCCTTCCCAGACACAGATCTGTAATGTATTGTTTTAGACAGTTGCTTGGAGAACTGACAGGTTTGGAAATGAAGGCAATATAAAAATAAAATCTAAGCAGAAATGATTTTTTTAAAATAGCAAAATCTTGAGATGAATTATAAAAGTTATATTTTATATGATTAATTACACTTGATCTTTTTCTATCAGCCAGATTTTTGTATATCAATTATGCTCAAAATGGGAGAAATCACCATTCACTGAAGTTTTCCTTCTGCCCATTCAGAGGGCACAATGTTTAAGAACAAACCTATCTCTCGGATAGAGCACCGGCCCTGAAGTCAGGAGTACCTGAGTTCAAATCCGGTCTCAGACCAAACACTTGACACTTACTAGCTTGTGTGACCCTGGGCAAGTCACTTAACCCTAACTGCCTTAAAAAAGAAAAGGGGAAAAAAAAAAAAGAACAAACCTATCTCCCCCCTTTAAGTTCCATACACCTGCCTTTGGTCTAAGTTCCTATAAGCCTATCTACTGTTTTATTATATGTAAAGCGTAAGCTGAAATACCCAAAACAAACTTTGCTCTGAGCCTGATCCAAGGCCCACAGAGCACCTCCAGCTACACAGTGCCATTGTCAATGAATGCAGATAAAGAAGGTTTGCCAAAAAAGGTGACCCAACTGTTTTCAAGGAGAAAGCCACACCCCAACAAATATACCTCTCCAGTAGGGTAGCGGTAATAATATTTGTCCTGATCACGAAGAGCATACTCCTCAGGATAAGTTTCCTTGATCTCTTCATAGGTCATCTCTTCACAGACTCCCTAGAGAAAAACAACAATCAGACACAAAAAGGTGTCGCTATCAAACCATCAGAGCCAAGCCCATAGGCCAAAGCTGAAAAGACTTGTCAGAACATCTCAAGATTACTTGTATGGAGATATGCCCTCCTCACTTGCCTTCTTCTTAACCTAGCTAAATTAAGAAAATGCCCTTCGAATGCAGAAAAATTGAGGGGAAAATTCTCACCATCTCCCAGATGGAATGTGATTGGGTCAGAACACTGTGGTGTAGGAAATGATGAAAAATATGGAAAGACTTGGACTTATAAAGGAAGATACGATCTACTTGTAGAGAAACAGATGGTAAGTAGAAATGAGCATAATGTGGTTTTACATATATGGATTTGAGTATACATGTATATATGTGTGTGTGTATGTGTATATTAACCTATACATATGTATGTATATGTGTGTATACATATATGTTTTATATATAAATAAATGTGTATATACATATATATGTGTATACATACATATATATTTACACATATACACATATATATCTGTGCTTAATTGTAGCCTTCTTTGGGGGTTGGGGTAAAGGGAAAAAAAAAAGTAAAAAGTACATAGCAGAAGACAAAAGAAAACATAAAAGGAAGCAAAGAAAAGAGAAACAAGCTTTGAAAATAATGTACAGTATTTTATTACATAGGTCTTCCTGAAATGGAAATTTATTGCTTTATATCGAGTCCTCTCATGTTCTGCTGTGTACATAGAAATGTCTTTTTTTTCTTTTCTCATTTTGTATTTAAGTTTAAAGTAAATTCAAATATAATGGAGGGGGAAAAAAAAAGACACCCTTCTCTGCCCCACCCTTCAAACCCAGATCTTCTAACCACAATGGCCAGATAGACATACTTACAGCATCGATTTCATTGAGGGCCTTCCACTGTTCGTAAGGTAGCTTGAGGGCTTCTGCTGTCTGGATCGTCCTTTTAAGCTGACTGGTCCATATCTTAAGGTCCTTCAAATTCTGCTCCTCAAGGAACTTGCACAGGGCAACAGAGAACTGAAATTGTCAAGGAGCAACATGGAGAGAGTTTGGATGCATGACACTACTTTCCAGCCTCTTGGGAAGCAGAGAATTCACCTTTCACTCTGCCACCCAGCGCTGCCCCTCTCATCATTACAGCTAACCAAAGAACCAGAGCCCCAGAGTCAGAGCACATCCCCAGCACACCCACCTTCGGCCCCTAGCTGCAGAAATCCTCCTTCCCTATCTCTCAAACACAGTGTAAGAAAACTCACCATCCCACATTCCCATACCAGACTATATGATTAGCTCCCTTAATTGAAGAGGAAGCACACCCACTCTGCTCTTGGCTCCTACCTTCTTCCCCCGGATGGATAAGCCAGAATCTCCACCAATCCTTCCTAGCACGTTGTACTCGCTCTCCCCATGGCGACATAAGTAGATGGTTCGGGGCTGGACGTGGATGTTCATCAGGTAATAGACTATCCTGCTCTGGATGTAATCTTGGACTCGGTTTACCAGGAATCGTCGGCCAACATCAAGTACCTTGATCAGTGACAGATCCCTGTAAAGAAACCCAAACCACAGAGAGAATGAACGAAAACAGGATTATGCATCAACATCTCAATCTCTCGTAAAACGAGACTGTAAATTCAATGTGTGAATGTGTTCGCTGGGACCATACTTATTTGTTGGAGTTTTTTTGTTTTTTTGTTTTTTGATGGAAGTTTTCTTCTTCTCTTTTTCTAAAAATTAATTTATTTTGATTTATCACCAATCACTTCCATATGCTTTTGAGTTGAAAATTTTTCTCCCCCTTCCTCCCCCCGACCCTCCCCAAGACGGTGCACAATCTGATATAGGTTTTACATTTAAATACCCATTAAACATATTTTCACATTAGTGAAGTTGTAAATAAAAATTAAAACCAATAGGAGGAACCATCAGAAAGAGGAAACAAAACTCAACAGAAGGTAAAAATAAGTGATAGCGATTCGACTTCCATAGTTCTTTCTCTGGATGTGGACGGCATTTTCTATCCCGAGGCCTCTGGAGATGTCTTAGATCCTCATAATGCTGAGAAGGGTTCAGTTTAACAACCTTAGTCACTGCATAATGTGGCTGTTATTGTGTACAAAGTCCTCTTGGTTCTGCTCACTTCACTCAGCATCAGACCATATATGTCTTTCCAGGTTTTTCTGAAGTCAGCCTGTTCATCATTTCTTATAGCACAATAGTATTCCATTACATTCATATACCACAACTTGCTAAGCCATTTCCCAACTTATGGGCATCCTCTCAATTTCCAATTCTTTGCCACCACAAAAAGAGCTGCTATGAATATTTTTGTACATGTGGGTCCTTTTCCCATTTGTTTGATCTCTTTGGGATATAGTCCTAGAAGTGCTAGTGCTAGATCAAAGGGTATGCACGTTTTTGTAGCCCTTTGGGCATAGTTCCAAATTGTTCTCCAAAATGGTTGGATCATTTCACAACTCCACCAACAATGTATTAGTGTTCCAATTTTCCCACATCTTCTCCAACATTTATCATTTTCCTGTTCTGTCATGTTGGCCAATCTGATAAGTGTGATGTGGTACCTCAGAGTTGTTTTGATTTGCACTTCTCTAATCAATAACGATTTAGAGCATTTTTTCATATGACTATAGATGGCTTTAATTTCTTCATCCGAGAACTGTCTGTTCATATCCTTTGGCCATTTATCAATTGGGGAATGGCTTGTGTTCTTATAAATTTGTCTTTATCAGAGAGACTGGTTGTAAAAATTCTTTCCCAATTTTCTACCTTCCTTCTAATCTTAGTTGCATTGGCTTTGTTTGTGCAAAACCGTTTCAATTTAATGTAATCAAAATTATCCATTTTGCTTTTCATAATGTTCTCTATCTCCTGTTTGGTCATGAATTCTGTTCTCCATAGATCTGATAGGTAAACTATTCCTTGTTCTCCCAGTTTACTTATGGTATCAGCCTTTATATCTAAGTCCTGAACCCATTTTGACTTTATTTTGGTATATGGTGTGAGATTTGGGTCTATGACTAGTTTCTGCCATACTCTTTTCCAGTTTTCCCAGCAGTTTTTTTTCCAAAGAGTGGGTTCTTATCCCAGAAGCTGGGGTCTTTGGGTTTATCAAATAATAGATTACTATAGTCATTGACTACTGTTGTCTCATTATTGTCATTCTCTTGAATGAAATTATTGATTGTTTCTATGATTTACTGTTTGACCCAATCATTTTTTAGGATTAGATTATTTAGTTTCCAATTATTTTTTAGTCTATCTTTCCATGGCCCTTTATTACATATAATTTTTATTATGTCATGATCTGAAAAGGATGCATTTAATATTTCTGCCTTTCTGCATTGGACTGTGAGGTTTTTATGCCCTAGTACATGGTCAATTTTTGTGTATGTGCCATGTACTGCCGAGAAAAAAGTATATTCCTTTCCATCCCCCTTCAGTTTTCTCCAGAGGTCTATCATATCTAACTTTTCTAATGTTCTATTCACCTCCCTAACTTCTTCCTTGTTTATTTTGTGGTTAGATTTATCTAATTGAGAGAGGCAGAGTTTGAGGTCCCCCACTAGTATAGTTTTGCTGTCTATTTCTTCCTGTAACTCCCTGAACTTCTCCTGTAAGAATCTGGATGCTATACCATTTGGTGCATATATATGTTTAGTAATGATATTACTTCATTGTCTATGGTGCCTTTTAGCAGGATGTAGTTTCCTTCCTTATCTCTTTTGACTAGATCTATTTTTGCTTTTGCTTTGTCTGAGATCAGGATGCTACCCCTGCTTTTTTTACTTAAGCTGACGCATAATATATTCTGCTCCAGCCTTTTACCTTTACCCTGTATGTGTCACTCTTTTTCAAATGTGTTTCCTGTAAACAACATATTGTAGGATTATGGTTTTTGATCATACTTATTTGTTAAGAAGGGAAAAACACAAATATCTAGTGTTAGAATTATCATGTTAAATTTAAATCCCATCATATTAAATATTATTAAGTTTAATTATAACAATAATATTAATTTTATATATCATATAATCGTATTAAATTTAATATGTAAGAAAACAAAGCTATAAACAGTGAATGAATGAATAAAGTATTTGTTAAGCACTTGGTATCTGCAAAAAGAATTCATCAATCTCTGCTCTCAAAGAACTATTGGAAGGTGGACAATATATACGGGATATTTTATTTGCAAGTCAGATGGAAAGTTCCCATGGTGCTTAGGGTACAATGGCAAATACTTCTGTGATGTCATTTCCACTGATAAAATCATCATCAGTTTCTGATGCTGAGCCACAACAGTGCTGAGGACTTCTGGTGACAATAACTTTCTTTTCTGGGTCTTCAGTAACTGTGGCTGTCGAATCTGTACAAGCAGTTGTCAGTCTCTGTATATCTCCACAGGGATAGCTTCCCAGGATGATGGCAGGGAGGGCTGGCCTAAGAAGAGGACCAGCAGTAGTCTGCGGTGCTGCCATCCCCAGGGTTCTTATGCTCATCCACCTTGGTGGCAGCTGGCCAGCGGTCACTGCAGTGAGGACTGAGGAATGTGGGCCCCTTCTCCACAATGACTTCTTCCCACAGCAATGGCTGGGGGAATGGGCAGGCAGCAGGTCTGGAGGACACTGCTGTTCCCAAGACTCTTGGGTTCAGGGTCCTGGGCTGTCTCCAACAGGGGATAAGAAGAGATGATGGAAGTTTGACTGGCCTGGATATACTGCTTCCCTTTTTTCCCCCCAAGGTATCTTGCATCACTTTGGCTGGCTTGCCTGCTCCATGAATGGCAGTTGGTGGAGAATCATGGTGCCATATTCAGTCTTTTTGCTCCTCTTTGTGTAAGGAAATATTCATAACATGTTGGTGTTTGTCAAATTCATGACAAAAAAAGAAAAATTCTAAAAATAAGTCAATTTAATGCTGCTTAACATTTTCACAAGAATTCCTCCTTGAAGGAATTCAAGAATTAGGTTACAAATTCTTTGAGAGCAAAGGAATTCTTTTATTCTATTTTTTGACAGGGGTATTACAATATTATGTACCCTGTTCCTTCATGTAAGGAATAAAATGACGTGAATATTCTCACAGTGACACTATATTGCTACAACTTCTCTCAGAAGAATTACAATTGCCAGTCACTAAAAGGCGAGGAAAATACACTCATGGGGTGGGTGGGGATAATAGGGGGCAGCACATGACCGATGATGACTTTTATATCACAAGGACACATAGGACTAAAAAGTCGAGGCGAGACAATGATGTAGTGAGAGCAAGGACTAGATATAAATCAATGGATAGTCAGAGCATTTTACCCATGAAACATTAGAGTAAGTCTTCCCATACTTTGGGTAGATCTTCTACAGAGGATTTATGGAAATATATAGGCAAGAGAATAAAAAGGCATGGAGAGGTTTTGCTATGCACTAGTGAATATATGAACACAAATCCATCACAGTATGTGTCCCATATCCTTGCTCATTAAGAAAGTCTCCCTCCCCCCTTTTCAGATCCCAAATGTGCCACATAAAGGCTATTTCTCTCTCAACACCCTCATTTAGCTAAAACAGTGGCTGGGATAATCCCAAAAGCCCAACAGGTCTGAGCGTGGCATATTGCAGACATCAATCCCAGAGTCCCCAAGTCCAAACAAAGAAAGTGCTTAATACTGGCAGAATACAGACTGGCTTCTCCCCCCTAGATACTGGGGTTATGGGACTTGGGAAGAGAAAAGAGGAGAGTGGAAAAGGGAAAGATGACAAAAATCAATGTACCAAGGAATGAAGAGATGAGTTAAGGCAGTCTTGAGGTCCATGTCCCCAGTATATTTATTCTTACTCACTCCAAAGAATAAATCAAACAATTAGGAAACATATAAAAGTAATTGGGGTGGGAGTATAAGAATGCTAGCAGTTGAGGGGAACTCAGGAGAGGCCTCATATAGAAGGTGGCTCCTGAGCTGAACTCTGAAGGAAACTGGATTTTAAGAGGTAGATGTGAAAAAGGAGTGCCTTTCCAGGCATGAGGCACAGCCAGGGAAAAAGCATAAAGCAGGAGACAATGTCCTGTGTATGTGTGACATAAAACCAGTATATCTAGAACTAAGAGTGCAAGGATCAATCAATAAGCATTAAGTGCTTACTATAGGTCAAGCACCTATGAGGCAGGTAGGTGGCACAGCAGATAAGAGTGCCAGGCCTGGAGTCAAGAAGACCTGAGCTCAAATTCAGCCTCAGACAATTCTTAGCTGTGTGACTCTGGGCAAGTCATTTAACCTTGTTTGCCTGAGTTTTTTCATCTGTCAAATGAGCTGGAGAAGGAAACGGCAAACCATTCCAGTATCTTTGCCCAAAAAAACCCTTAAATGGGGTCACTACTAAACAACAAAAATAAGTCAAGCACTGTGTTAGATGCTGGGGATATTAAAAAAGAGTAATGTATACTAAGCCTGGAGAAGCAGAGTGAAGCCAGGTTGTGAAGGGCTTTAAATACCAAATAGAAGAGACTGAATTTGGTGCTAAAAGTCATGGTGAGCCATCACTCACAAGTCCTTTAAGCCAGATGTTTCACAACAGTCAGTTATCAGGATCCCAAATAGATTTTTGGGAAAATAAAATTAAATCTTACGTCAAGAACAAGGGACTGGGAAATAGCATCCTTGGCTTTATTACTTAGGACTTTTGATGATTCTGCCTTAACTTGGGAAGCTCATTTGCCTATATCTACCTTGCAAGAACACAATGAGGATAAAGGGGGTAACTTTAACAAACCTTTCAAGGAGAACTATAAGATGTATTCTAAGGTTTTAGAATTAACAATAATTATGCTAATAATAACATGCCTTAAGATCATCTTAAGAATGTCTTTCCTTGGTACACAGAAGTAAATATCAAAGCAGGGCCATTTCAGGGAGAATGAGAATTTCCCTGAGTTACCTATCATGGTTATCTGGGTCAAGAGGCTGATAGTTGACTTGATAGCAATCAATTCTCTTCATGAAGTCCTCCATGGCTTCTGCTGAGCTGCAATCTCTATAATCAGGGCTGGAGAGTTTAACTTCCTGCAACAACACAAAAAAGCAGCTGATGAGTCATACAGAAAGGCTTTCAGTTCAGATTAATCAGGATTTGGGGCTCTCAATAGGGGAAAGCGCAGAAGGCCTCGGGATAAAAAAGATTATCCTAATACCCAGTGTTGAAAAAAATTTGGGTAGAGAGTCAGAAACTGAATATAAAGAGGGTGAGGGGTAGTATGAAGGGCACATCTTCCACATAGCCATTACTGAAGACAGGAAAAGGCATCCAAGAGATTCAGTAATGACCATGTATGAATGTCTCTGATGATTTACTGTTTCATTATGAACTCAATGACTAAGTCACCAGACAGTCCGACCCTCCAGTTAACTTAATAAGTATGTACTGAGTGCCTACTATGTGCCTAACACGAACAAGCGGATACTAAAAGGGGTAATTCAGGAGGCACCCCCGCCTGTGAGTCCTATTTCCTCCTCCCATCCCAGAAACAAAGCCTAGTGTTCACTCTCAATTATTCTGACAAGGAACACCCAGTTTGTGGGTCATTGAGCCCCCACGCTCTCCTGCCTACTTCCCTCGCTTTGTTTTTCACTGAGGCAAGATAAAGGAAACAAGTGAGAATCTCAATCAGTAACACCGTTTCTTAACTAGACTACTGATAAAAACTTGCTAAGTGAAAACATTTAAATAAATGGGTAAAATAAGGCTAAGGTGGCCAAAGGGTTTATTTAAATCCTGCCTTCTCTTCATAATCAACTTCAGAGGATACAAAGGTAAGCAAAAGGTGCTCTTCAAAATTTGGTCCGGTTTTCCTCCTGTGTCTATTTTCCAAATATCTCACTCCTTTTTCAGTCACGACTGACTCATCGTGACCCTTTTTGGGGTGTTTTCTTGGCAAAGTGGTTTGTCATTTCCTTCTCCAGCTCACTTTACAGATGAGGAAACGGAGGTAAAAAGAATTAATTAAGTGATTTGTCTAAGGTCATACAGCTAGTAAGTGTCTGAGGCCAGGTTTGAACTTAGGAATTTAGGGAGATGAATCTTCCTGACTTCTAGGCTTGGCATGCTATCCACTGTACCACCTAGAGACCCAAGAGCACCATGGATATCTCTAATTTATATGGTTGTTTCAATACTAAATTTAGCAGCCTGGCATGGTAGATAAGGAACAGTCTTAGAGCCAGGAAGTCAATTAAAAAGGCATTTATTTAGCACCTAAAATATGCTAGGCACTGTACATGGATTCAGGTTTTGCCTCCAATGTATTCTGGCTATGTGACCCAAGTCACTCAGTGTTCTCCAGGAAATTTATTAAGACAGTAAGTTGCAAAAAATGGAGTCTGGCCTGCAATGGTAGAGAGAGCTACTCACCCAGGAGTTCACTAAACCAATGAATTGCATGTCTGGTCGCTACCTTTCGTAAAGGTAGAGAAACAGAGTGGTACGAGTGCCACCTTGTTATTACACCCAAACACATGCTGAGAGCTGACTGAATGGTCTACTGAACTGAGAAACAAATCCTGAGTTTATAGATAATTACAGGAAAGATGACTCATTACTTAAAAGCTACTGAAACCTGCTCTATTCCCAGGTGGAACTTTAGGGGATAAGAACAAAGAAATTCAGTGAAACTCTTGATTTGAATTACTGCGCCATAAACTATTTCACCACGGTTTCCACTCTTCCCTTTCCTTAACAATCTACCAACAGAAGTTCCCAATCTTTTTTTTGTGTCATGGCAGTCTTATGAACAGCTTAGGAATGGACCCCTTTTCTCAGAATAATGTCTTTAGGTTCACAAAATCTTTTTTTTTAAATACGACTACCAAAGAAACCAATTGTACAGAAATAGCAGTTATGAAAATAATTTTTAAAAAACCTAAGTTCACAGACCCCAGGTTAAGAATCCCTTTACTAGATGGTAGGTTATAAGTAACTGCTATCACTTTTAGGGATACCTCCGGGTCTAGTGTCTAAGAAAATGAAAAGGCAAATACAGGCTCCTTCATCTGGGATGAAGGGTCTAGTGTGACCCCTTTATTTAGTGCTGTCAGCGTGTCAAATATTATCCCATCAAAATGTAGTCCAGTGCATTACTCATTTTATTTCATTTATACTTGTCTACTACAGTATTTTTCCTCAAACAGAAAGTGTGGAAGAAGAGTTTTATTACATACAATCTACTTAAAGGCAGACAGTTTAACTGGATCCTACAATCTCACGTGAACTCGACTTTGATTTTTCTGAGTCCTACAAAACATGGACATACATATGTGCATGTTTCTGTTACCTAGGATTTTAACTGTAAATAAATACATTAGATCATTCTCACTCCCTCTCAGGGCTATTCTGTTAATTTGTTGTTGTTCAGCTGTTTCAATTGTGTCCTTCAGCAGGGAACTCTCTCTGGCCCATTTGGGGTTTTCTCAGCAAAGGTACTGGAGTGGTTTGCCATTTCCTTCTCCAGATCATTTGACAGAGGAAGAAATTGACACAAACAGGGTTAAGTGACTTGTCCGGGGTCACATAGCTAAAAAGTATGTGAGGCTGGATTTGAAATCAGATATTCCTGATCTCAGCTCTACCCACTTTACCACCTAGCTTACAGATTGCTTAATTGATGCATGAATCCTGCCTACAACCCCCAGGAGACTTGCTTATTTGAACCATCCTCTCTCCAGGGCTCAATCTGTCTCCCTTAAGACACTCTCTACATGCACACTCTCCTCTGAAAGCTTCTCTTAGATAAAGTATTCTGGCCTGAAACAGGCCTACCACACATGCCCTGCTCTGAAAGTCAAAGAATTTTGCCTCTCAGCATTGGGGCTGACTTTCTGCTCTTACCATAATGTTGGAGGCGACTACAGAAGGATCATCACACACAGACTCGATGAAAAACACCTGGGGAAAGACAGAAAAAACCCTGAATAAACAATCAGGGGATGCTATCAAGCAATCCACAAACATTTATTAAGCACGTACTATGTGCCAGGCACTATGTGTTAGATGGTAGCGATACAAAACAGAAACAAAACTGTTCCTGCCTTCATGGAGCATTGTAGGGAAACTATGTGTACACAGGAAAGTACATTAATACATACAAGGTAATTTTGGTGAAGGGGAGGCACAAAGATAGGGGGGAAGGGATCAGGAAAGGTCTCACGTAGAAGGTGGTACTTTAGTTAGGCTTGGAAGGAAGTTACAGATTCAAAGAGGCTCATCCTCTCCTACTCCCAAATTCATTCACAGGGTGAACATTTCCACAGAAATTTTCATTCAGTAAGGCGCTCTGATAAATAGCCCCATGGGGAAGCTGAGATGTGGGTAGATTAAGTTAAACTGGGTTAGACCTGACAATCAACTGAGCCCCAAAGCTTTATTAACCCCTCTGGACTAAAAGCCCCCTTCTAGGTCATATGGTGAGAGGTTTAGACTCACCTTAAAGTCATTTTCTTTTGCAAAATCAAGGACCATGTCTCTTCTCTCTTTTGTGGTATTGGTAGCATCAAAAACCTGTATGAAAATTTGAAAAAGAGAAAAGAAAAATACATTTTTCCATCACTTCTTTTGAATTCTGAATTGTTCATTATTTCACTAAAACTACTCCCGACTAACTTTTCTAGACAAAATCATAAGCTAACAGTAACTCCCAGCAGGAAGCTTCATGTCCCAAGACAGCCTTCTTCTTTGGGTTTTATTCATCACTCAGATATTTTCACTCAAAAAACAACCTGTTTCTGAGCAGAGGAAGAATCCAAGTTGGTGTTCTATGTTAAACCTTTGAAATGCAATTTTTATATGATCTGCACAAAGACAGTTCTGAAAGTAGATATACTTGGGAAACCAAAGACTAAATAAATCAAGGCTGGGGAACCTGCGTCCTCGAGGGCACATGTGGCCCTCTTGGTCCTCAACTGCAGCCCTTTGACTAAATCCAAACTTTACAACAGAATAAATCCCCTTAATAACAAATCCCCTTAATAAAAGGATTTGTCCTGTAAAGTCAGCCAAAGAGCCACACTTGAGGACCAAGAGGGCCACATGTGGCCTCCTCTGGAACACTAAGTTGAGAGGTCAAACCTCAAGAACTTGAGGTTTCAAATATTGGAAGCAGTTGAAGCAATTAATTAGCAGCATTTGGAGTTATTTCCAAGACATTTCAATTTTTGCTCATTCTTAAATGTCAAATATAAATGCCAACATCAAGAAAGAGACGGGGAATGGAATAAGCACTTATTAAGCACCTACTATGTGTCAAGCACTGTGCTAAGCACTTTCAAATATTATCTCATTTGATTTTTACAACTACTCTAGGAAGTAGGTGCCATTACCCTCATTTTACAGTTAAGCAATTGAGGCAAACAGAAATTAAGTGATTTGCCCAAGGTCACACAGCTAGTGTCTCAGGCCAAATTTGAACTCATGTTTTCTTGACTGCAGGCCCAGCACTCTATCCACTGAGGCTGTCATTCTCTGTATATGAACACCTATGGTCTTGCTGACCATCCACAAGCAATATACTACCACTTCCCTGCTAACTCTTCCTGGGACACTGAATAGTTCTTTCCATCCACTCCCCTAAGGGTAAAGATGAAGCAAATTGTTTTAGCCTTAGGGAAATCTCCAGTAATGGGGGGGGCGGGGTGAGGGGCGGGGAACACAACACTTGTCTGGGACTCAAGCCTGTGAGGGAACACCATCCAAGCATGGGATCAGAGGCAGGAGGACAACTGCTATCTTAACTTACTGCAATCTGACCACCTTCTTCTTTCAGATACAACTGGACATCCCTCAAGGCAGCTAATGCACATTGTCTGCAATACACAAGAACAGAGAAGACAAGCATCAGAAGACGGTCTTGCCCAGGTATTCCTGAGCATCTCCTCCTTGCCTCTATTCCTAGAACTTTAGATTTTCCATGTTAAAATAAAGGTTTAAAATAAAAAGTTTTCCAAGGCAATGACTAAGAAAACTACTAAAATGACCCTGTTCTTTGATCCAGAGATCTCACTGCTAGTATAGACTCCAAGGAGGTCAAAGGCAGAGAGGCCTCATATACAACAAAATATTTGTAGCAACACTTTCTCTGGCAGCAAAGGACTGAAAACAAAATGTAGCTACTATTTATGTATTGCTTTAAGATGTCTAAATCACTCTACAAATATCATCTCATTTGATCCTCATAACAGCCATAGGAGGCAGTAATAATAGTAATTACTAATCCATTTTACAGATGAGGAAACTGAGGCAGAGGTTAAGTGACTTTCCCAGGATCACACAGCTAGTAAATGTCTGAGGCTAGATTTGAGGCTGGTCTTCTTGACTCCAAGGCCAGCACTCTACCCACTGTACCACCTAGCTGCCTAGCTATGCCCAGTGAACGGGAAATAGCTACAGAAAGTATGGTACATGAATGCAATGGAATCTTACTGGGGCATAAGAAGCTACAAATATGATGACTACAGAAAGACAGATGACTCTGATGCAAAGTGATACAAGCAGAAACAGGACTAGCTCACGATAAATTCACAGATATATTTCTGAAGTCCCCAAGACCAAAATGCTTTACTGAATAGCACTTATTCTAGGACTGTCTGTCTTGACAAAAAGGGAGATAAAACTAATTTGAGAAGAAGATCTAAAAGAGTCTGAATCAATTGAAGAAGCCTACCTAACATGTCTCTCTTTTGGTCACTATTTTATTAGTGACTGTCATGAAGCAGAACAGCCATTTTTGACCTTTCCCTAGATAAGAAAAGGAAGACCTCGTGCAAACTTTTTTCTTATACAAATCTCAACTCAGGTTTTGAGAATCGCCTCTGTGGGTTTTTTTTAATCCCCTGCAAATGAAAATGCATGCCTTTTTCCAAATATGAAACATGAATGGGATATGTCATTAATTTCTACCCATCAGTTATCTAAGGTTCATTAACAGAGGAAAATCTGCATGACAGGCGCCAGAAGTTGAGAACCAGAGAGGTTACATGATTTGAGGAACGTCACCACCGCAAGTCACGCACAAAGGGGGTGTCTTTTTCTCGTGGTCCCTTTAAACTTCAGGCCAAAAGGGCCACTGCATTCTACATTCTCTCCATCCCCTTAAACAAACAGGATGGCAAAAAGAAGACCCAGAAAGATGGCTGAAGGAGATGCCCTAAGAGAGAAGAGACCCAGATGAAGAAAATGGTTCAAGTGGAGGAGGGCAGCCAAAATACATTTACTTTCCAACTTACTTCCGAACTTTCATGGCCTCTTCATTGTCAGGATGAAAGAAACTATAAGAACTGAACTCCTTCACCACTTCCCGGCGGTACTCCCCAACGTTGAAAACTACAACAAAAGGTAAAGTGACAACACCATCAGAGAAAGCAGAAAGGCTCCAACATACACAAAGGAAATAGGGTACCACTCCCACCAAAAGCTCTTGCTTAGATAATTTGTGAAGACACTGAATTGAAACATACAAAAGATCCCCCCAAATTTCCAACCATTCCTGTGAAAAGATGGATTCCAACAAAACTCCCTCAACCATTCTATCTAGTCAGCCCTGACTATACATAAGAGTGATAAGGCTTGGTAGATATGCCTTCACACTGGCTGCCCACCATGCCTGGAATGTATTCTCCTTATCTTAGAATTTCTTACCTTTTACAATCTCCATTTTCTGTCAAAACCCAACATGAGGGTCACATGAAGCCTTTCCTAATCCCCCCAGCTGCTAGTACCTTACCTTCCCCCCAAAATTAGCTTATATTTAATTTTGCAACTTCCTATATATGTACAGATTGTCCCTCCTGACAGGATATAAGCACCTTGAGGGCAGGGTCTGTTTCATTCTTCTGTCTGTATACTCCAGCCCCTACCACAGAGCCTAACTGAGAATATTTGTTGACTGATTACCCAGTACCATCACCAATGGGACTTCCCATATTCAAGGATGTGAAACTGACAAGGCTGTGGCCATACAACCATGACCCCACATAGAGAGGTGGAGCCCCAGAGAAGTAAAAAACATCTAGAGAAAATCTAGAAATAATGGATATGGAGCAGCCTAAGAAACAGGAGATTGTAGGTTCAAGTCCCATCTCTGACACACAATGGCTATGTGACCCTGGGAGATACACTGAATCTTTTAATGTTCTAGTGAATTCTAAAATTTTATGTTGCAGAACAGGTATCTCTAAGATAAACACAGCCCAGACCCACCCTACTACATAAACCTGATTATTTCCCATTCCTCACCTCTAGCTGTGAGCACTCTCCTACTTTAAATTACTTTGAATATACTGTGCACTTATTTATCTGTGTAAAGGTTGAACCCCCCAACAAGAATGGAAGCTCTTTGCGGGTAGGGCCTCTCCAGCATTTTGCACAAATTAGGTAATAGATGTCTGTAGAAATTACATTTCCATATTCTCATTTATGCCTGGGAGCCAGATAATACAGCCATCATGATGCCCATTTTATGGAGAAGAGAAAACTTCAGAAAGATAAGTGATTTGCCCATGGTCACATAACTTGTAACTATCAGAAGTGGGATAAAAGACCCTGGCCTTTCTGAATTCTATCAACTCCCCCATAGCTGCATCTACTCAGCAATAAAGCCTTCAAGCAACAGCTGGATCCCTTCCCCAAGTTAAACCATACCAGCATAAGAACCCAGCCTTACCTTTTGTGGGGACACCAATCCAATTGAGGTAGCGTGTCAACTTCTTGGACATATAAGTCTTCCCCCTTGCTGGGAGACCAACCATGACAATCACAGTAGGGGAATTGGTCAGCTGTGGTCCACAGGCTGGAAGAAGGAAGAAGACCATAAATCCACACCTGTATCTCACAACCAAATCAGCATAGTTGCAGATCTACACACGTACACAGCTTAACCCAAAGACCCTTCCAGATACAATTTATATTCACCCTGCCATACATGAATGCCCAAACTGTATGCTCCCAGTTGGCTCCCCAAAAGAACAGAACACCTAGAAAATGGGAGAGCAGCAAGTTTGCAGAGTCACTGAAATTTATTTAGCTTTAACTCATTTATTAATCCTGATTTCTTCCCTCTTATTTTGAATTTCATACACTGTCTCCCTCATTAGACTATGAACTCTTTGAAAAAAGAGACTTTTTTTCTTTCAATCTCCTGAGTTTTCCACAGTGCCTGGCATATAACAGGCACTCAGTAAATGCTTACTGACTGATGAGTTCTGTAACAATAGACAAGATGCCATCCGAAGCTTCTTATAATTGAACATATAAAACTAGCAGCCCAAGGGACCAGATGCCTTCCCTGCCTAATCTCAGTTTCAGAAGATAAACATTTATTCATTCATTCTCTCCATTCCATGCTAAAACTCTGGGCATATAATATTCCCTGCCCTCAAGGAGTTTATAATCTTAACCCCCACCCCATCCCCTTCCCCCTTGGGCAATCAGGGTTAAGTGACTTACCCAGAGTCACACAGCTAGGAAAATTCTAAGGCCACATTTGAACTCAGGCCTAGCTGCTCCCTAAGGAGTTTATAATTTAATGGGATTACATAAAGGGGAGAAGAAGGCAGGAAATCTTACTACTAACTCTTTATCCCTTAACCTCACATCCAGTATACCAAGACAAGTAGCCCTGGTCACTAGGATAAGCTTCTTCCCACATCTTTGCTTCACTTTCATCTTTGTATCCTCAGAACAGTGCCAGGCAAACAGTAGGTACTTAATTAACATATAAGGACAAGTATTCCCTGACACTGAAGAGGAAGGTTAAGTAAACAAAACCAAAAAAAAAAGCTTTTTTTCCTCCAATTTTAAATCAATCAATAAACATTTAAAAAGCACCTCTTAGGTTCCAGACACAATACAGATACACAGAGGTAAGAGACAGTCCCTGCCCTCAAGGAGCTTGCAATCTAATTTATGTTGTTTGTTCTTCATTCTGGAAGAGGACGGAGACATCAGGGAAGGAATGCCATGACATGCAAATGAATTGGATTTAAGTGAGGGAGGACTGTACAAAGTCACCAGCCTCACTTTCTCCTTTGGAGCCATCTGGGTCCAGTGGTAAGATACAGACCAGGATGACTGGAGATGGCCCCAGATGCAGTGGGAGACCTTGGCCTTTTTAAACTCAGGTCTTTCCGATTTTTCAATTTGACTGAGGCAACACCCATTCATTGATTAAGGCTAGGTAAGAACTGAGGCAGAGGATGGCCTCTTTTACCAAGTTAAAAAAAAAATCTGGGAGGGGAAAACCCTAAGAGTTTCTGGCCAAAACAGAAACAACTGCTATTTATATTCACTCTGAGCCAACTCGGGCCCAAACAACGAGCAAGTGGTGCTTAGCCTGGGATCTATTGTTGGCCAGTGATAATCTAATGAATGTAGAAAGAGAGGGAGAGTATATGTCATATATTGCAATGGGTGAAAAGCAGGGCCCCACATTCAGCCAAGTTACAGAGACCAGTAATAAATTCAGCTCTCACAACCCAATTATACAGCTTACGTTACCTTTTACAACCTCTTTTCCACCATACTGACAGAAGTTTATAAAATTCCAAGCAAGACTAGAACCCAGATAATGTTAATCTCATCCTTTGGTCAAGAGATAGGTAGACACCTAATTTTTCCATCTCTACAACTCTCAGACCCTCCCCTACTACTCTTTCTACTTGATCCAGTGGTAATCCATGCCAGCACCTACTGAATGAATGATAAGTCAAGGGATGGCAAATACTCCATCTAAGTCCACTACATGTCAGGCAAAGTCCCAGCCAGAGTCACTGATTCCAGGGAAAGGGGGCTGCACAACAACTTGCTCTTGGCTTCAACTCAGGTACCTGAATCCCACCAACCCAAAGCAAGAAGTATCTTCCAAGGCCTTCTACACACTTCCACAAGTCTATCAAAATGAGATCGTTTATGTTGAGAATAAAAAGGTTTTACATAAATGACAGCTGTTATCACTTAGAAAGATGCACACAAGGGACCGATCTTCAAATCTATGGCACCAGATTTCCTTAGTCTGTCATCTGGCTGATTCTTCACATGTCCCTTATGTCCATGAGCTAGTTCTCAATGGAAACAAAGACAAGCAGCCAGAAAAATCCCAAACCAAGGCAGACAGGCCTGGTCCTCAAATGAGTTGACTGGCCAGCGAGAGTGTCACCAATGCCTTAGCAACTACAGAAAATCTATTCATGTTAAAAGGGGCAGCTGCCAAGATGCACAGGTTGCTATGAAGCCTGCTTAGATTCCCCCTTCGCCAAGATCTTTACTATACCTTTTACCACTCATCCAGATGGACACGTATTTAGACGGAGACTTTAATATGCAGTTCTGAGGTGTCTCAGTGTCAGAACGGATATCCAAACAGCCTACCAGGCACCTGGCTTCCGGGGGCCAAGGAAAAGGGCAACCTTTCATTTACACTGGGCATCCTAACTCCATCCAAACATGGCAGTGCTTGTCCTCTGTTTTAACAGGCTGAGATCAAGTGTTTCCAACACCCACTTAGCTACTCTCAGACTTGCTTCCTCGTTCTTTGAGAGGTCAAGGGACTAACCAGATGGGCCAGCACAGGAGCTAGGTCACTGGAGAAAGAAAGAGCAGATTAACAAGTATCTCTGTTGGAATTACACAGTACAGGCCTCTTAACAAACCATTCATCCCAGAATCCCAGGACCTTCGATTGAGAGCTGAAAGATGGTGCACTAGACTTAGCACTGGGTCTGAGTCCCACTTGTATCATTTTCTAGCGGTACGACTATGCTCAAGTCACTCAACCTTTCTGAGCCTCAGTTTCCCCACCTGAAAAACAGGCAAAGAATAACTCTTCCAAAATAATCTATCTTCTTTGTTAATACTATGTGCATTTTATTTCATGTATTTAAAACCATTATTCAGAAAAGGGGACTACACTACTGAAGGCGTTCACAATGGAAAAATGGTTAAAAGGATCTCTGCTCTAAAGTTTATTTTATTGTGATGATCAAATGAAATAAAGTATTCCAAATGCTTTGTAAGCCTTTAAGTATTACATAAATGTCAGGTACTCATTATTATGTTTTGGCCACTGCTTAACCACAGAACTGGCATCCAGTGACTTGCTGAGGTCTATGGCCACATCCGTTGTACTACGTCCCCGGCCCTGGTTCCAAACACAAGAGCAATGCTTTACCTTCCCTTACTAGAAGATACAGCCACCAGGCAATAAGTATCTTCTCAGAAGATCAACCGGCATCAAAGACATGCACAGAGATACACATATGCACACCTGTGAGAATTCTCTCTCCCTGACTTAAGAGCAGAGGCCAGGGCAGAAGGATCAAAATGGAGACTAGACTTTCTACTGCTATTCACTAATCTCAAAAATAAATCTCTGGAATCAGATACTCTGAGAGGGAAAACTTAACCTTCCAGGAGAAGGAAAGAATACTGAATTTCAAACCCAAACAAACCCCCATCTCCTTATCAGTGGCAATGCTAAAGGCAATTTTCCATGACCACAAATACATGTTTTCCATGTTTACTTCCCTTCTCTTGTAAAACTGGGGGAAGCAGCGGTTAGATTAAAATCCAGTCACTAAATGATCTCTCCTGAGGTCTTGTCCATCTCTAAATCTATGATCCTATGTATGGTCTTGTAAATTTGGTTTCTTCTGTATGGGAAGAGTCTAAATAGTTTGCCCAACATTTGAGACAGCAGCATCTGTCACTACCTCCTCCCTTCACTCCCCAAACCAGGGGGAATTCCTAACCTGGGGTTTATGGAGTTGTTTTAATATTCTGGTAAGTAAACACACACATAATTGGTTTCTTTTGTAATTCTCTGCATTTTATTTTATGCATTTAAAAACACTTAAATGTCCAAACAGTAAACGCATAAAATATTAAGTGTATAGAACATATCCGAAAACATTTAAGTACATAAAATTCACAAGATTACAAAGGAAACCACACATACACAAGTGTAGGTATGTATCATATATATAAATGCACAAAATGTGTATGTTACAAAGGAAACCAATCATATATAATGTATGTATATAGCATATGTGTTGTGAGAATACATTTGTACATTTCAATGTTTTCGGACATGTTTTATGCTTTTGATGTTTGGACATTAGGCTTTTTCCAGTACCAAAAGCATTTATGACACACAAAAAAATTTAGGAACCCCCTGCCCTGGTCTGACTTCTAGGAGAACAGGAGAAACTTTGGGATGTATCTGTCTTATTCTCCCTTTTCCTATTTCCTGATCTTCCACACAAAACCATTCTTCTATTGCACATTTAAACTGGGTTCTCAAAAATTCCTCCTTGCCTCAATTTCTTTTCTTTCATCATTCTTTAACAGATGGACCTACCCGAGGCATCCCTCTTGACCATCCCCCCCCCGCCTTTTCCTCCTTAGGGAGCCCTCAATTTCCTGTGACCTCAGAACTGATGACAGGTTGTGACAAACAACAAATGTAATCATCCCTCCTCTGTGTTATTATCTTTCTCTCCCCTACTCCAACTCTTCTTCCTTCTCCCACAGAGAATTAAGGTCTGGTGACCATTTAGTCTAATAGAACGCTAACCTCAAAAAAAACAGGGTTCACATGGGGCCCCTATGCCAGGGCAAGCAGGAAAGACAGTGGATCACTCAGTGATTGTTTCATGGAATTTAAGATTACCCTCTTTTCTATTACTTAATCCTACCATGATGACAGTAACCAAGAGAAACAGTTCAAAGCTAGGGAGTGGCAAAAATGAAAGCTGAAGTGAAAAACCTACCTGCCTTAACCTTGCTGCTATATAA